CATCATAACTCGTAGTTTCCTTTTGCACAATTTAGTGCAATGGGAAAATGCGTAGTTGGAGAAGTACAGCGTATGAAAGGTCGGAAGATCGAATCCAGGAGAAGAACACTTAAAATTGTTCTAAAAAAGACTTAAAGTATGAATGAGTAATTTAAATCTTATTCACGTATCTTTTACGCCGATGTGTTCTTCCTTTGTTCCTATTTTACCATGAAAGATGTAATGTGTACGGCCTGGCCAGCCGAATGTACACTACTATGCAAAGAAAATTAGAGATTCGAAAACTCGAAATTTCAGGGTCCTAATTGTGAAACATCTGACTGACTGGCCAGCGTGGGTACCGCAACCAAACTCGAGCAACTCGAACTTCGAGTTGTTCGACCCGAGTCGCTCGACACTGACTAGTCAGTCAGATGTTTCACAATTAGGACCAGTTAGGACCCTCGCATTTCGAGTTCGGGTACATACCTTGGCGAGACTAAACTCAGAATTTGGAGTAAGAATGACAAAAGAGCATTAATTAATTGTTCCACTGTTGAGAAAATAATTTTTTTTGAAAAATTCACTTAGATTCTTGGACAACTTTCATTTTTTCCGAACTTTTCGACCGAGATTTTTGCAGAAAAACGAAAGTTATCCAAGAATCTTGAACACACACATCAATCAATTCAGTTTTTGATGCTGATTTCAAATATGAGATTGATTTTGCAAAAACAACTGAAGGTTTGATGGTGAAAACTGCAAAATACAAGTGAATTTCCCTGTTTTTTGCTACCTCTTTCAGAAAAATTTATTTTCTTAACAACGGAACAATATCAGTACGCAGTGTATTCTCAAAAAGCAAGTGTTTTTTGAGAATACACTGCGTACTGATATTCTGACATCTATCTAATTTAATCACGATTAAAGATTATCTGCGTAATGTATACGTAACGTATTTGTTATGCATGAATAAACTCGCAAGATTGTTATGGCTAAATGACACGATTCTCTATTCTATAATCGATTCATTCTTACATTATTAATAATATCAGTAAGTTACCTAAACCGTACAGAAAATGTTATACAGATAGAAATTAGAACATTGTTGTCTTTAATAAGCACTTAGGGAAGCAGTCAAAATTTTGATCGGAGCAAACGTTACAATCGTAGAAGATAAAGAGCAAGCATCTCTTCATGTTTGTATATAAAATATATCTTTTCTTCTCCATTTTATTTATTTTTTTCTATAGATTACCTCTCATTAACTCTTATATATAACACATCAAAGTACATATTAACTATGGTAATTAATTATAGGTAATATGTATATTCTATTTGGCCTTATCACTGCTAATATGGTCTTAAACAAACAATAAGAATGATTTTTCGCTGTCGTTGTTATAGCTATAACAATGGCAGCGAAAAATCACTCTTACTGTTTGTTTAAGACCATATTAGCAGTGATAAGGCCAAATAGAATATACATATTACCTACAATTAATTGGGGAGGGTCCAGCCCCCTCCCTCCCCTAGCTACCCCAATTTTAATTAGAATTTGGGTAGCTAGTTCCCATTTTGCAAAGCTTGTAGCTCGGTTAAAAATAGTCGTAGAAATGTCATTCTCGCATTGTTTGATAGCCAATGATCGATTGTGATACTTTCATGGGGAAAAAATTTAAAAAAGCTTTTTTAAGACACTGATTTGTAATTATTTAAAGCTAATTAGCACCACTCTGGTACATTACATCTTTATTTGCAAGCTAACAGTTTATCGTAAGTCATTAAGTAGTACATGATTCGAAAGCTCTTTCCAAGCGCTACAAAACCCTATATTTGTTTTTGCAAAAAGTTGTTCATAACACGCCTTTGGAATCCTTTTTTAAGAGTAGCGGGTTTGTCAAGTGCTTATGTGAATTACTGTTAATTATCATCGACGCCAAAAAACAGCTTCCCAGGCTAGATTTTGAATAACTTTTGATAGAAAAGAGTTAGAGAGCTCCGGTTTTCGCCATTCAAAAGAGGAGACTTGAAGACATGTTTTCACAACCAGCATTGTTTTTAGAAGAGTTTTCTGAAACAGCTTTTCTAGGAGGTCTTTGGAAAACTAGGCCGCCTGTAAAAATTTTCTAATGGGATTACATTGCTTTTTTCTCATAGGATGATAGCTCGAGGTGTCCTCTTCAAAGTAGGGGTAAAGACAGACTTTGATTTTCCGCAGTTCGGGCGTTCTATCGGATGTCCTATGAGTCCCAGGGCTGGCATCCGGTGATTATTGGTAGCCTTAAAGACGGATGCACTATGGGTAATCGATCATGCTGAGTTTCGTGACAATATTTATTTTTAGAAAAAATTTTAAAAGTCTAGCGAAAAGTCAGTTTTATGAAAACTAGGGTTTTCAGGCCGTTTTCACCTAATATTAAAAAATTCACTTTTCACTCAAAAAACATCAGAACGAGTTCAAAACTTCACAATGTAGAGTATTTAAGCTATTCTATATCCTATTTATAGGAGATCTCGAAAGAAATTTTACAAAACCCTAAGGTTTTCCAAAAGGGTGTGTGGAAAACCTATTAACAAAAATATACTTTTTGATTTTTTCGATCTTAGAATCACGTTTAGTGGACAACATTAATCATATCCGGAGGCTTTGGAAAACCAAGGTCTGTCTTTACACCTACTTTGAAGAGGAGACCTCGAGCTATCATTCCATGAGAAAAAAGTAATGCAATCCTATTGGAAAATTTTGAAATTTTTACAAAACGAATATCGGTTTTGGCATTTGCTCCTAATAGAAACCGATATCCGTATCGCACGATCCTGCATAACCGTTTCGCACATTACGCTTCAACGTCTTTTGCCTTGTGAAGAAACGAATTTAGATATTGTACCAGAGAAAAAACGTTGAAACGTATTCTGCGAAACGGTTATGCAGGACCGTACGATACGGATATCGGTTTCTATTAGGAGCAAACGCCAAAACCGATATTCATTCAGTAAGCTACGGATTTTTTTAGAGAGTAGGCTGACTCATGTGTCTTGCTCCTTTCCTACCAGATCAATCGACTTCTCTTAGATCAGATAGGGTGATTGACTATGTGTTAAGTTCGGGTACACCTGTGTCGGTACAAACATATGAAAGAACAACAACCAGTGATCATAAACCTCTTATCTGTGTAACTGCAGGCAAGGGTAAACATGTATCGCTAGGGAAAAAAATTCAATGACAGGTTTTTTTTATGTTTGTGTCATTCGTTTTTAATTTGTGGGAATCTCAATGGAAGCTTGATTATCTAGGCATGGTGTACTCCAATTATCTTACTTTTCTTTCTCTTCTTGAATCTCGTTGTACAATCATATTCTCTCTGAACAAATATCGAATATCACTTCCATCTGAGATGAGATGTAAGCTATCGTATTGTCGTGCAGTCTCATTTCGTGCTTTAAGAACAGGGATCTTGATCTCCGAAAGCTTGTTCATTTTTGTCGGAAAATAATCAAATCGGAATGGATCAGTCGCAGTTCGCCAATTCAACTTTCGCCAACAGACATTCGCAGACGGCGAATGTTCACGAAAATTGGTGAATGTCGCGGGAACATTCGTCAATTATGGCGAATGTCATGGGGACATTCGCTATCGCTAATATGGCGAATGTCTATTGGCAAAAGTTGAATTGGCGACTTTACCACTGACAAAATGTTAAAATGTAACGTAATGTGATTTATGTAGTAGAACGAAAGGAGCAAAAAATGATGCATTTCTTTCACTGTTACTTTTTGATCCGCATCGTATTTTCTGTAGTTTATTTTGTAGTCACAGGATGAGCAAATCTTGATATTAGGAACTATTTAGAGCAGAAAAACGCGCATATGCACATTGCAATGAATACTGAGGACAGGTACTAGCGAAGGCGAGGGTATTGGCGAATGTCGTGTGGACATTCACCAGTCGCCAGAATGGCGAATGTCTATTGGCGAAACGCGAGTTTACCATCGAAATTGAAAGTGTTTTTTTTTCTAATCGACTAGCAACTTCCCTTTCTATACGCAATACATCACCACAGTTATCGGCCCAGTTTTGGTCTAAGACTAGACACCATTTTAAACCGCCTTCTTCTCTGCATGCTTTCATTTCTGACATAAACGAGATACTCCACGAACCTGTAAAAATGGCTGAATTAGCAGCGGAGTATTATGAAAAATTGTTTCATAAGCCTGAAGTAGTTCGACCACACCCCTATGTGGATTCTCCAGCTATATTTTGGGATAATCACGATGAAAAAATCTCAGAAGTTACCAAGGAAAATACAAGGAAAAGTAAACATTCTCGTGATGCTCACGGCCTGTCTACGTTTATGTTCAAATATATTCCCTTGCAATATTGGTTTCTGTTTCACCAGCTGTTTAACTTCTTTTTCAAATTGTTGGCATCCATCACTCGCGGAAGGATGTTAGAATGATTCTGTTAACAAAAAAGGAATCTATTTGTCCAATTTTCTCTACCCGTTCTATTTCTCTCCTAGACAATTTTCTAAAATTCAAGAAAAATTATTTTTGTTGAGATTTCTTGAGGTTTTAAAAATAAGGGGACTTCAACCAGATACGCAGCAGGTTTCAAAGCGGACTTTCGTTTGCAGACCCGTGTGGTTCTTCTTATAGATCAAATATCCTCTCTTATGTCTAATAGCTCTCGCGTGGCTACTGTTTTGTTGATTTTAAATCCGCCTTTGATCAGCTTTGGTTCGAGGATTATCTTGGAAAGCTGGCAAGAATGGGTATTTCAAAGGCCTATGTGGACTAGAGATCTTGGTTAGAAGGAAGAAGAGTCTTTGTAGAGATCTCTGGCGTTGGCTCTCAATGGTTCCCTATTTTGAGAGGTGGTCTACAAGGTCCCAGCTTCACGCTCATTCTGTTTATTACTTCTCACGCTGAAATGGATAATTTTATAAACATGTGTATGACTTTCTTTTTCGCCGACGATTGTGATCATTTTAATAGTTCTTTCTAACAATCATGATGAATACCCATTTTCATAAAGAACAACCTTGATCCAATTAATTTCAGCATCTAATAATTTTTCTTTTAAACAAATCCGAGCCGCTGGAGTGACAAGTGATTTTATTAACGGGTGTGCCATAATAAAAATTGGACTAAATACTACCACATTTTTTTTCTACTTCCTCTGCAAATAAGAAGTTTCTTTATACACCAAAAGCTAGAGAATTGAATTTTCTACAAAACCTACTATTTGAATCTCCGAGAGCATTTTTCTTAATTGAGCACCATTCAAAATATTGAAGGGTGCTGAGTTGTCGAACTGCAGCGTGCTTTTGGCGTCTCGGCTTTTTTAGATTTTTAGCTCATTGTTTGAGGTTCAGTAGTTAATTTTTCTAGGTAGAAAGATAGAGAATCTTTTGCTCTATCGATCTCACTCATTTACAACTTCATGCAATATTTCTACTACGTCAGCTGATCTCATAATTAGTTTTCAACCGACTTTTCAATTTTTTCAAATTAAATTAATTTTTTTAATTAATGGTTTCAATTGAGAAACTTTGTCTATATATCAAAAGACACAGAATTCAATTCTAATGACACAGAATTCTAATTCGATAATAAGACTAAAATCCTGGATTCAGAACGTTTCACTGCTTTTATAGCCAAAAAACTAAAGTCTATGAAAAATAGATTCAAAAGTTAGGTTTTTTAGATTTATCAGCTTTTGCACAGAGAAATTTCCCTAGAAGATTTAACTGCAAAATTTCGAAAAATATCTGAGAAGATGTAGAATTTTCCAGTGAATCTTTTAATGTTTTCAAAATTCTTATGGAAGCTGTTTTTGGATCAACGCAAATGTTGTTCTATTTTCTGTGTGTCGCAGTTCGACAACTCAGCATCCTTCAATATTTTGAATGGTGCTCAATCAAGAAAAATGCTCTCAGAGATTCAAATAGTCGGCTTTGTAGAGAATTCAATTCTCTATCTTTTGATATTTAAAGAAACTCTTTTTTGAAGAGAAAGTACGAAAAAAATATAGTAACATTTAGTCCCGTTTATTATGGCACACCCGTTTTTCTGATATTTTGGAGAGTATGAATCCCATTTCATGTATAAATCAGTCCGTGTTTTCTTCGTGTACACTGATATCTAATGTTTTTCCGGAGAAGTCTTGAATGAGCTGTCTTGACTGTATTAGCAACGATCAAAATTCGGCTTTTGACACTTTTCATAGGTTTTGTATACCTGGATACATTTAGGTATGCACCGGTATCGGTATTCATACCGAAATACTGATATCGAACTTCGGTATATACCGATACCGAAAATACCGACTTTTTTCACTTGGCATTTTTGGGATTTTTTCATTTGAAATGAGATGTTTTAGCATCCTGGACCCAAATGAATCAGGGATGGAAAACAAGAGCTTTGTTTGCTTTCTAAAGCCAAAGTTTTTCTTTTTTTTCTATCTGCACATGCTCAAAATATAGAACTGAGTGTTGTTTATACGTTCTGCTTGTCCAGGATGCTAAAATACCTCATTTCAAATGAAAAAATCCAAAAAATTCCAAGTAAAAAAAAGTCGGTATTTTCGGTATTCGGTATACCGATACCGGTGCATACCTAGATACATTATGAAAAGCTCACATTTGTCTTACATTCTGTCGTGACAGATACAAAATGTAAGACAAATGTGAGAGTGATATTACTTGTCCTGCCTTAACTCTGTCTTTCTCGAAGGAAACCACTTGAGAGGACCCTTAGGAAAGGTCAAAACAGGTCGTGGTATCTTCTCTTGGTTCTTTCAGACATGAGTTCTATTTGAGTCTCTAGTAACTAATAAGCGGTTGTTAAACTAAACTAAATTAAAAATGTCATGACAGAGCTGGATTTTTATTGTTTCAGTCGTATAACAACAGTAATGGTTATTCACGCAACCGAATCTGCTGACAACGTTAATCTGATCGGTCCCAACAACAATGAACGTTTTTTTGAGCGAAAAAATGTTTTATTTGAACTCAAGGAATTGGCGAAGCTGGCTTTTCCTTACATAGTCAGCACAATTTTAGGTATTGTAAAACAGCATAAGCATGAAATTAGATATTTTCTATTTCTTTGTGAAATTCCTACAAGACTTAGAGGAATTGAAGTTTAAATTCACAAAAGATGTCTTTCGAAAAGCGACTATCTCGATGAGAAACAGAAAATATAGGATTCGACAATCAGACACAATTGTTCATAAAAGCTCATATGATCACTCACTAAATCTGCTTGGAGGAGAAGTTTCGCACTTTAGCTCAATAATGCGCTGTACTGTTGTTGTTTCGTGTGTTCTCAGAATTATGGCTAATACCGATGATATCACTGGCATTTATGGGTCATTTCGATCAAAAATTATTTAATGCTTGTTCATTAGGTGGTACAATTTATACTTTAGTTGGTACACCATTTTATTTAAGTTTATGTACTGCAGCCGATACATTTTTGCCACAAACTTTTGGTAAGTGTTTGCTGAACGGCAGAAGGACAACAGTTCTAATTCGCCGACAACTTTTATTCTGTCCATCTAGCTAGCAATAATAAACGTGAAATGGTAAATATAAATCTGTTTTGTAGGATAAAAGCTAAACTAACAATTACGCTATATTAACTGAGCATGGTGACAGAGTGGAAGAGGAAGCTACCTCCGTACACACGATATTACTCAGGTCCACAGCAACGGATAGTAAAGAGGCATTTAACGGACCATTAATGAACGTCCGTAAAATGATCAGTTAAAGAGCTTTAAGAAGCGAAGTTGATATTCGCAGTTCGTCTGCAAAGATTGAAGTTCGCAAGTTCGACCCTAGCTTCGTACAAGGATTGATTTTGTGTTTTGATAGTTTAAGTTTCAGAATGATATAATCGGAATTTATATTCCCGATTTCGTTCTGGTTCACGATTAAAGCTTAAACCAAGAGCTTTAAACGGTCTAAAAACGGCCAAATTATGGCGTCGTTTACTGTCCCTTTCTGTAATGTCGTATTGTAGGTCTCAAAACCAGCAGTTAACAGTCTGTCCAAAAGACGGTGTAGCCCTGAATCAGCAAATTCTTTTATTCATCATTCAAACCAAGTGACGACCTAAAGCATTCCCATGGTATATAAGGAAAAGATATTCAATATAAGGCTTTCTCCCTAAATTGCTATAGTTGCTTGCTCACGGTCTTTTACAGAAAGAAGGTCTTTTATCGGCCTTGAAAGTCAGTGGTCAAATAACCTTGAGATAAATGGTATAAAACAGACAGTAAATTATTAGAAAATAGCGTGAGAAAGACCTTAAAAAATTCGTAATAAAATGACCATTGATTTCAGGCCGTAAACAGTAATCATTCTAAGGCATTATTCTGTCTCCATTAACGGCCATAAAATAGTCCGAAAACGATCTCGGACTCTTCAAAAGCGGACGATTACTGAATATATATTGGTTTTTCACTGAGCTTTAGTGGATTGTTAATGCGATCGTTTTGACACTCCTGACTAACGATTTCAAAAGGCTTCCAGATTCCTAGAGCGAAAAAATTGTATTTGACGACTTCCTTTTGTCGAAATTTAACCGAGCAGCGAAATAAGACTGAAATATTGCACTGGACCTACCACTTTTACCTAAAACGTGTGACTCTGTAGCTCTTCGCGCTGTGCTACTATTTATGAAACAAGGAACTTTTCAAAAAACTTTGCCATCTCGGGTTGCTATCAGAGTTGTAACCGGTCAGCAAAACCATGACCGGTACCCGCCGGTCACTGACGACCGGCGAACATGTGCAGATCGAACCGGACCGCTCGATTGACCGACCATTCTTCAAAAAATTTGACCAGTAACCGATCGATGTTTTTTGCTTTCTGTTCGATATAAATATGCTTTTTTCTGTCATCTATCTATAGATGCAGTGGTAGGTCTATGTAACGGTCATAAAACGGTAATCTAAATTTGAGCCTCACTATGATACAATTAATTACCTGTTCTTAGATCATCATCTGTGGTCAGATGAAGGACAATACGTAGTATCTGTTAACCTGTCGTTTGTGCACAGTTAAAAGCCTGTTTAAACTCTGTTTTTAGTCACTTAGTTAACAAGTCACTCATGTACTATTAAATGTTAGTTATGTTTGACCTGGAATTTTATACAACAGTTAGTTGTCCGGCGTCATTTAACTTTTAACACTCAAATCAATAGAAAGAAATCGCTGACTTCAATTTTAATTTTGTTAACGTCCGTCTTCCTAGAAAGTCGTCAGCTCTCTGTCAGCAAAATGAGAGCATGAATATGTTATTTAACTTTATAACCTTGAAAACCTCACGTCGTGTCTTTTTTTCTCCTTTGTAATTCATTATAGGGTTTAGTTATTCAACGTACATTATTGATGTTTATCTACGCTATTTTTATTACATGGATATTGCTATTAAGTGCTAGTCGAGCTTTTTTGAAATTTATTGAAAAAGATCATCAAATTGTTTTATTAGCTGATCAATTTTTAAGAACTTATATGTTAGTCGTACCTTGTGAATGCTTATCAATTGTTTTACAAAAATATATTTCAAATACCGGCGTTACATATCCATTGGTTATTATTAATCTCATTGGAAATTGTGTCAACGCTCTCGTACATTATTGGTAGGAAATGTTGTCTTTCAGAAGTGCGTACGCCCACTGTTTTGGAAGAGATTTTAGTTCTGCATAAAAAGTTTCAAAGCATCGAAGGGCTGATATTTCGAGTTTTTGGCCTCCTGGAACTGCGGAACAAGCACTTTTCTCTAAAAGGATTCATTTTATGAGGCTAAAACATGATTTATTCTAGGCTCTGTCATGAATAAAATCACTCGTTTTTCAAAATTTTTCGAAGTGCTTGGTTAGACAGCAACTTGCTTTAAATTTGAGTAAAAGCTGGAAAATGGCTCATATAAAATATGCTTCGTACCGTATTTTTACTTAACATGTTATAACCCTTGGAACGTCTCATCGTATGGAGAGAGAATCAACGATACTCTTGAAAATTCTTCTCGTAATATGTTATTAATCTGAAAGATTTGTTAGGAACAACAGCAAAGTCTCTATAAAGTTGACTCTCAGTTGGCCAACGTAGAAAGGCTGAACTAATGAAAGTTTGTTTGTTTAAACTTTATTTTCATAAAAGTAGAAGAAAATGAAATTTCTTGAAATAAAGAAATAATGAAAGTTACTCCGCTCTAGAGATGTGTAGGGCGTCCTTACCCTGTAGGGTATGGTAGGGTCAGGGCTGTGAGATCGCCTGAAACAACAGGGTAGGGTAGGGCCCGGGCTCTAATGTCATCTGGGTACGGCTTGGAGTTTGTTTGACAAATCTTGATGAATTATATCGTAGGCAGGACACGCAAGTCAGCCGCTTGCAACACTTAGAAGGCTTGATGGTCATCGGTTGTTAAAAGGACCAGACACAATATCAATAGTAGCCATACGAACTTTTCTTTCTATCTTTTCTTTTAACGTTTTCGTTCCTGTTCATCACGTATTTACATATTTATTGAAACGATCAATTGGAACTAATATGGAAGACACACTAAGAAGAGAAGCAGAAAGAAAAAAAAAGGAAAAATGATGATTTTATGTATGATTTATGTGAAAAAATAAAATAACTGATTGTCTTGAAAAAATCTCAAAATTTTCAAAGGCCAGGGCTCTAACACCACCTGAAACAACAGGGTAGGGGTAGGGTACAACAATTTTTCACAGGGTAGGGCCAGGGCTCCAGAAACAGCTACCCTGCACATGTCTACTCCGCTCTGTAAATGATAAGACAGTACGGATATTCGAATGCACACCTTTCTTTCAGTTTTTGATTTTTGATCTCGTTTCTCAACATATTCTACAAGTTTCTGCTTCACAACACAAACGATTTTGAAGAAAATTGATTACTGAAAAGAGAGGAACAAAAAAATGTCTGCTCTCCGTATTTTGGTACCTTTGCATGAATGAGATGGATGTAGAATTTCGCAACAAACCTCAATGCTAAATGTCTCTTGTAGTCTGCTATATCAGTTGCACCTTGGTATTTATACACCAGGTATTGCAGTGGCCGTTAGCTATTTAACAATGTCAATACTAGCGATTGTTTATATTCGATTTTATTCTAATATTTATGAACTTACATGGAGTCCAATAACAAGAGAATGTCTAATGAAATGGTCAAGTTATGTACGTTTAATGGGCTATACAGAAAGGACAGTAACTAAGCAAGAATTTTTATCCTTCCTTCCCTATTCAGGAGCTTTACCGCAGACAAGAACCAGCACTGAATACTGCTTCTCTGCGGAGGGATGTATATAGTTAGATTTGCATCAAACTTTATCATTTTTGAGAGGAGACTTAATAGTATATATCTGTAAAGTTGAACATACTATTGAAGAATATACTACTGTTGTCTGCCACAAAGCCCCCATGGATTGATTGGTCTCCACGTACCACTATGTTTTAAAAGAAATTTTTTAGGAGAAAATGTAGGCGATACTGTTCGGATTTCCCTCTGTAAACCCGAATCTCAAGCCTCCTTCTTGTATGATCGCTAAATACAGCGGGCATAGCTATGATATTATTATCTAGTTGGGTATTCGAATGTTCAATAATTTTTGCAGCTACAATTAGTCAAGAATCATTAACAGCTCAAACAATTGCTTATCGAACAACATGGCTGTTGTTTATGATCTCGTTTGCGAGTGCATTAAGTGCAAATATACGTTTAGGACATTATGTGGGCTCAAATCAACCTCTAAAAGCTAAACAACTAAAAAATTTAATATACATTGCCACGCTACTTCCATTATTAGTAAATGTGACATTTATACTTTCGCTCTTAAATTGGATTCCATCGTTTTTCATATCAAACACACCGGAGTCAGCGCCGACGATATTATTCTCAAAAAAACTATTATTAGTTGTCGGTAAGTGAGTAAGCTTTCAAATTAGCCTGGATGAATTGTTTATTTTGTCATAGTACAGTAAGAAAGCCATAACATGAAAAAATCTGTAAATTTCTATCTAATTTCGAACAAAAAAAGCCCTATCAGCGTAGGCCTAAAGGTCTAAATATGAAACTCCTTCCTTAAACTATAGTTAATACACATTGTGTATATTGCAGACACTTTGGCAGCTTATGACAGCTTTACACATCCATAATTTTCCACTCCTCTTTTTATTCAGAATGATATAACGCAGGAGTTTTGTACACAGCGGATTAGCTTTTTCGAATTACTACGCCAGTATTTCGATTAGAAAGAGAACAAATGTGTCCATCCTTCTCAAACCATATTTTATTCGCATTTGCTTATAAAATTGAATAAAGTGATACATTGTTTTCCTTACGTATATTTCAGTTTAAAAGTTTCAAAACATAAAATAATTTAAGACTTTCATTTGAAATATTTTGTTAAAAATCCTGGCTTCCTACCAAATTATATTAGTCATCTTTGATGCACCCTGACGTTTGTAGAGCAAGATTTTCAAAGATTTGCAAAGATTTTCTGCATAAAATTTAGCGAAAGCCCTATAGAAAAGTTAAAAACGTCGTCAAAAACTTGAAGCAGACTTAGTCATTGGACAAGTTTTAAAATTAATTTAATTTTTCAACTACAAAAATTAAATGTCGAAGAAAAAATCTTGATATTTCTAATAATTTTGGAAAACTGTATCGAAGTTAATCTAAACTCTTTTATTTTTCAACAAATCCAGCTGCCTCATTACATATTGGTGGAAGTTGAACAAATGTGACAATAATAACAATAAGAAAAAAAGAACAAGTAGTAAAGAAAAAGAGAGAATAGAAAGAAATAAGCAAAAGTGTTGTAAAGTTAGAAAAGAATTTATCTTATCAAAAAGGAAATGTTTTATCTCTTGTTTCGGTAGTCTTCAGGAATCTGTATTGAATTTTCCTGACAGCGTCTTTGTTTTAAACTGAAATTATGGCCTAGGTCTCCTCTACCATTATTTTTCTCAGAACTTTCGCCTATTGTCACCAAGATCACAATCTTTCAACGTTTCGATTAAAGCAAAGATATTGTCCCAAAGCTTTGGGCCTGATTTAACAAATTTTTTGTTGTTGAACTCTAAGAATTATATAGCTACGAGATCTTGAAGCCTCGTTTTACTCGTCATTTTTCAGATCAAAGCGGACTGATGTTTTGCAATTTTCTTAGTTAGTCGAAGATTTTAGGTAAAATGAAAAGCTGACACTCGCCTTCCAAGTTCAATGAAACATTTGTTTTCAAAAACATTTTTGATGTTCTGAGGAAAAATAAAACTATTGTGAAAAACTTGTATAACTATATGAAGGGATTTCGAATATAGAATTGGTTTGCGTTACAACTATAAAACAAAATAGAAAATCAGAGAATAGGTCGTTTTTTGTAAAACTTCTTTTTGGTATAGAAAGATGAATCAGATTAGGAATCAAAGTCTAATGTTTTCGTGTTGTATAGTACATCGAGTTATCAACACACAGAAAAAACATTTGTAAATCTAAAAACATTAATTTTTTCAGCTTTGTACCAAATTACCGATGTTTATGAGGTACTGCAATTGGATGGAATGATTAAAGCGTGTGGTCTACAACAGAAGGGTGCAATTATTGCATTAACTGGATTTTTTCTGATCTGTGTACCACTGGCAGTAGTGCTTATTTATGTTGTCAAAATTGATATTTATGGTTATTGGATTGGTCTTATATGTGCTGCATTTTTTATAAATATATCACTTTTTATTTTAATCCAACGTTTCGACTGGCAATCATATGCAACTCAGGTTGCTGCTGCTGTTTCATTAACTGCATTGACACGTTACGGAACAAACAACCAAGAAGAAATACCAGCAGATAAATCGCTATTTGAACTTCTTAAATGGAAACTAATTTGTTTAAGTTTTTTAATTATATTATTCACTATTAGCATACTAGTTTCAATACTCACTAAACTTTATTAATCAAAAACTGAAAACAATAATGCTTCTGAGATAGCTGGACCATAGATGCGATAGTAAGCCATCTAAAAATCGACTTAATACATATTTCACATTCACAACCTCAAGCACCATCACTATAAAACATGTCCGACTTAACTACTTTTGTCTGAATACCATACAAAACCGAAATATGGTTGCATATGAACAATTGTCTGCCGAAATCGTTGAAAATAAATGAGTTCTTCTAGTTTTGCTATGAATGTTATATTTCAATTTTTTTCGATTTTTATTTGAATTACGCTGTTTAACCTAGAATTAGTACTCTACTTTTCACTGTATAAGTTTATTTTCACATGAATATTTGGCTTTAAGTTTTTTTGTGTCCGACCCAGGTACAAAAAAATATTTTTACACTTTTGTGTTGGGATCTGATTGATTTGTACCGGAGTTTAATTGGATTAGGAATAATAGTGTGAAAGGTTATTATCACCATTTATTTACTGACGTGGTGGCAGAAATAGACAGAATAAAGAGAATATGTAAGTAGAACAGCTAAACACCAGACAACGCCATGAAACTTGTGTACTTGGAAACATCACCAGTTTATTCAGTTCGTAGAGCACGAGATGTTCGAAATTGAGTTAATCCAGTTGCTACTGATTTTTTGACAATATCTCTAATAGGTGATGAAGCGCGAGTTGTACTAGTACGATTATCATGATTATGTTCACTAGACATTGAAACAGCGATTTTTTCATCATTGTAATAGGTCGCACGAATTCGAAAATCGCATTCAGAATATTTTCTAGCTTGGGTACATCGATATGTCACTCATTTTCCAAGAGCTACTGTTCTGGTTCGTTTTATTGAAACATTATTTTGTTTTATAAATGATTTCATATCATTCTCATCAGAAAATTCTTCTACAAATTCCACTCTCTCCGAGTCATGATTTAGAGTAAGTTTTAGTCGAAAGTTTCTATCTAAATTCAGTTATAGGGCTATCTTTGAACTAGGATGATCAAATGATTACTTCGAATTCTCTATTTGTGCATAATATATCAATCGAATTTACGAAAAAGATCCTTGATCAATATTGCCGGTCTGTGAATACTGTATAGTACTTTATGCATCTTGTACATAAAGATATAGATGTGAAGTTATGCCTTTCAGAATCGTTTTGCATCCAATGGTTAATAGCCAAAGAAGAATATAACTGTTATACACATTTTATTTCAGCAAAATTAACAACTATATATAGTATATTTCAGCTACAGAAAGATCTCTTAGGGAAACTGGGAAAACACACATATTGTACAAGAGAGAGAGCGAGAGAAGAATAGGAATGAAAAATCCGCATGGGAAAGAGTGAACAGAAAGAGAAAATAATACGTCATAGAAAAGCAGGACAGTAAATACATATATCAGAAGAACAGAAAGGGAAAATAATCAACGAGTGAAGAGAACATGTATATTTGAAAGGTGACCACTGCTGATATGAGATTTGGTTTATACTTCCTAACATAGACCTATGTCACAAACGATATCTGCCAGGATAACTTATGTTCATCTCTAGTTCTACTATTAAATTTTCTCGCACACAAACTGGGCACATATCTGTCACACAAAAGTGCAAAAAGATTCTTTTGTACCCGAACCGGGCACGAAAAGTCTTAAACCTACACAAATCTATCTTAATCCTGGAATAAAAGAACCTTCGTCCTGAATATTTTATGCGTTCTAAACATCGTTTATTTGATTCAACAAAGCAGACGAGCCCATTGCATGTTGAGAACGGAGCCCTGCAGGTTGCCACCTCTCGACAACCTATAACCTAAGCTATAAAAAATTTGGCAACCTGATCCTAACCTAACCTATGGAGTCGACAACCTAATCCTAACCTAACCTATTCTACAATTTTTTTCTTTTCAATCCGCCAAATTCTGTAAGTGTATTTGCGAAATATAAACACGTTAGAATGTAAGAAAGCCAAAAGAAAGAACAGAAAGTACGAACAAATAGAAAAAGAACGTTTTGACTTTTCTAAAATTTCGCAAAAATAACAGATCGTCGACGGTATCACCATTTAATGATTGGCGCCTTTTTTCTAATATTCTTCCGCTTGAACTAAACACTCTTTCAGCTGTTGCTGAACTTGATGGGACACCGAATAATGTTTGTGCCAAAATACTTAATTGTGGATAGATAAGTGAATGTTTTTTCCACCATCCTAATAATGTGTCTTCATTTGTATATTTCATCTTAGTTTTTAAAAATTGTTCAGTTTCGTCTTTTTCGTCGTCACTGTCATCGACATCTTGATTTTCATTGGCAAATTCAGCCATTATATCCTCTTGTGTTATTTCTGTCTTTCTTCTTTTATGTTTACTTGCGAATGTATTAGTTTTTGTAGTTGTTGACAATATTTCTTGTTCTGTTGAACTTCCAAATTCTTGTAATAGGTTTTTAACATCCACATGGACTTGTTTACGTTCCGTTGGACTCAATTGCTGATATAAGAAATGAAAAGATAAACATATAGAACGATAGTAAATTAAAAAATAAAAATGAACAACTTACCGATAAATTTTTTGTTATGGGATGAAGAAATGTTGCTATATAATGAATTTGGGTTAAATATGTTTTTTCATCTAATTTTAATGATAATTCCTTTTTTAATTGAATTATTGGTAACAAATCACCTTCTTTATCTTTTGTACAATGTTGCTTTAATTTTGTTATCCATGGAACTACTAAATGAAGTGTTGGTTCTAAATCAGCTTGAAATTGTTCACTGGCTAATTTAAATGGTAGTAATACATCACATAATTGCGTTACGAGTTGTTGACCAATATCATCTAATTTTCCTGATTCATCACCACCTCTACCATCTAAAACACCTTCAATATGTTTATAATTTATTGATACTGAATTCATCATTTCGTAAATACTATTCCAGCGTGTATCATTATCATGTTTTAATGTTGATGGTAATAAATGATTTAATTCACATCGCTTAAAATGACTTGATAATATTCGACACGACGTAATTAATCGTTCAATTAACAGACAAGCTGATAAACTATGGTGTACAACTAAATTAATACCATGACAAATGCAACGAAGGTGATTTTCGCTTTCTAAAATACAGTAATAAAAAAACATAATATAAATGAATGAATGGTTACAGTACAATCATATCAACATCAATACTTACTTAATCCACAAACTAAATTTGATCCACTGTCACTAACATAAACGATATGATTGGTATCAGGATCTATTCCAAATGAACGTAAAATGGAAAACAACGCTTTCTTTGTATAACTGATCGTTTCTCATCTGGATTAATTTTGGTTGTTGTTTTCATTGCTGTGGTAATTGATGGCTGTGATTTTAATGTTTTTTCTTGTTTCATACAATTTTGAACATGTAAGCTAATCGTTGTTGTGCCATTCTTTGGTTCGTATACCAAGAGTCTATCACATACTGAACATTGTACAAATGATTCAAATAAATCATCTTTATCTTTGATTCGTTTAAGACTAGACCAGAAATCACCACTGG